TCTTCAGAAAGCATTATATATTTAGTTTTTTAAAATAGAAAATACTTCCAGTATTTTATATTTTAAATAGATTTTCTGAAAACAATATCTTTATTTTAATTTTGATTAAAATAGTGTGTAATCCAAAAACACAAAATACATAGTATTTCAAATACTTCATTTTAAAATTATTTATAAAATATATTTTTCTTAGGTCTGCTTTGTACATAGTTGAAGCATTCTGCATTGTACAATTTTAGAAACAACCAATATCTAAATTATTATTTTCAAAGTTAATATTGATGAAAGTATGGAGAACATAACACTACGTCTCTCATATCTCATATATATGATCTTATAAATTACTAACCGAAGATAGCTCATCTCACTGCAATAGCATAAAAATATATTTGTTATTTGATGTGAGATCTTCTATATTTGCTATTGTGGTTTTCGCCCACATTAATAAATAAATTTGGATTCTCATTAAAGAAACCAGAACTAGGAAGTATTCCAAAATCCAAATCAAAGTAATTTGAAACCATGTATACCTGACACTTTTCAATTCATGGCAATCTCCATTAAAAGACGATTTAGCTGGGCCCTGAACTCCTGACAGATATTAAAAAGTTTTATAGTAAAATGTATCTTCACGAATATATGATTTATCTTTTCCCAAGCTTCTGAGCTACATTTGTTCTTTATAGCCTTTTTTCTCATGTCCCAGGCCTATTTTTCATTTCTTCGTGTTTCGCTTATCTTTCCTCTCCCAAGGGCAGCCATAAATAAAGTACTATATCTTCAATATACCTTATTTTTGACATAGATGAGTCTTATACATAAAAAATATATTGAATACTGCCTCAAAGGTTTATCTATATGGTTTTAATTATACCAATTATCACTACAAATAATAACAGGTATGTTCCAACACGAGTTTTTTTAAGAGTAAATTTTTTTATGTTCTTTTGAAAGTAGTTCTATTTACCTTTACTTCCCATGAGCCTGAAACGAAAAAACTCATACGGGGCATGCGGTTGACAGTTCGTTGATGCACAAAACTTGTGTTAGATAATGACTAATATTACCTATCAAATAAAAATATTTACCGAAGTACATGATTTATAAAACATAACAAAACGCTGAAAAAATATTTACTGTATTTTACACATTACAATATAATTATTGAACAAAAAAATATAATCCATCCTGACGTTACTTGACTTAAAATATTAAATCATTTAGGTTCATTATTATTAAAAAAATATTAGTTAATGGATTTGAAATCGTGTACCTGACTGTCAAATCCTAGCTTTTCAAAAGGAGAAAAAACACATTACATTTTCATCGTTTTGACAACTTTAAATCGAATATTTGAAACAAACTTCGTTTCACATCGATATCGGCAGTCTAACGATAAGTTAGATTGATCTGAAAATAAACCCGATCAGCCGTAACGCAATCCTCCCACCTTCGCTTCGGTCTACCCCTCGGACCTTTATCAATCGGTACAGCGATTATTAACCTTTTAGTTATTCTTTCGTACAGGTTTACACACCCATTTTATTCGCCGCAATGCGATCTGGACATATTGTCATATTTTATTAATACCTCTTTATGTGAATTTTTACTCATTTTGTTGTGCTTCCAGTATCGCTTGTGGGCATCTAACTGGGTCTGAGACTGGAGTTAGTCTCTTGCAGAGGAGGTTAGTGGTCAGCCGAAGAGAGTCGAATAATTAAATGTGCTTGCTTGTGATGAATTCTGGAACTGTGGGTAGCTCGAAGAATTCATGTAGTTTCTCCATCTTCGTTTTCTTCAGTGATGTGGATCGGACTATTTTTCTCAGTATTGTATTTTGGAATTGTTCTAGATGGACGCATCTAACGCAACGGCGTTCCTTCTCTAAGATGTGTAAAAAGTGGAGCTCCATATAGTAGTGCCGATCTAAGCATGGTTTTATAAATTTTTATTTTTAGGCGGAGTGAAAGAAGTGGTTATAGTAGTAAATGATGGAGTCTATAGAATTTTTTTTCGGACTTTGAGTAACAGTGAGCTGTCTTTGTTATCGATTCGAGCTTTATTCCTAATCTCCTCTTCGTTATCGGTTTTCTATTTATCGTAGACCCTAGATACCTTAACTAAGTGTTCAAATATATGTTCATCTATATCGATATCACCGATAAATTGTCTCCGTTTTTATATCTAACCGCATATTTTCTCTTGAAATTATACCATATGTATAATTAATGATGGAAATAGGAAACCTCGTAATTCCCTTCAATCTTGAAGTTCATACCCTCTTAGCAATAAGCGCAACCAGTCGGTCGAGTACCTGCCTACAGTGGTACCTCAGATGTGAGGTGGCTCAGAGCAATTAGTAGGGCACACTGTTAGCAGTCGAGAGCGGAAGAGGGCTTTTAGTCAATCAGTTTAGCAGCCTGCTATAGACTGCTTTAGGCCTAGTCTCCTAATCAGAACATATATCGCTACTGTTAGTGCAAAAAGGTCGTATATAAAATTTGAGTTTCTTTACTTTAGTTTCTAAAAACCGATAATTTCTTTATCTTCTTATTTTTCTTTTTTTTTTTAGGAAGACTACGTTTATATGTTTTTTCATAGTTAAGGCAAAAATACTTCCAATTTCCTTCAAACCCCTTTAATAATATTTATTATCTCTAACATTTCGGAACAACTTTCCCATCATCGGAACATTCCTTTTATTCACTGAAACTATGCCCATTTTAAATAAAATATTTTTACATTACCAATCTACTTTATCTATTGTACCTTGCTTTTTTGATTTGGCACTTTTTGTCAAAATTTAAATATTTGCCACTAAAAAAAATTTCGGAACAATTTTCCCATCATCAGACCAATTCTTCATATTCACTGAAACTATGCACATTTTAAATAAACTATTTTTACAGCTTGCTTTTTTTTTTTTTTTTTTTTTTATTATGGTTAGTGTAACTATGAATATTATGAAATAACTATATATTTGGTGTGACACACCCTTTCTTATTCATAGTTACACTAACAATAATAAAAAAAAAAAAAAAAAAAAAAGCAAGCTAAAATTAAAGTAGATTGGTACTGAAAAAATAGTTTATTTAAAATGTGCCTAGTTTCAGTGAATATGAAGAATTGCTCTGATGATGGGAAAATTGTTCTAAAACCTTAGAGATAATAAATATGATTAAAGGGATTTGAAGGAAATTGGAAGTATTTTTGCCTTAACTATGAAAAAAAAGATAATTTCTTTATGATTTATTAGTTTAATTTCATATTGTATTTCCTCTGCTATTTTCCTATTTAGTGATATTTATAGTAGTTGCAGACAACAAAATATCACCTTTAGTTCAATGTCAAATTGTTACATACGACCATTTTCACTGACAGTAGCGGCGTATTCGCTGTCATTGTTTTATTTTAAGTTGGTTTTCAACTCAGATTAGTACTGTTGGCGGTTCAGAAACTTTTTTTTTTAAATTATTAATATCCGTTTAAGTATTAATCTTGTCGTAAATTTTAGCCTCTTAAAGAAATATCGCTAAAGAGGAGGAAACAGAATCCCCGAAACATTCAATAAAAAACTATCAAAAGTTAATTTGATTTCTATTAAGCTGATCTTAAGACATACACTTAAGTGTGTATATATATATATATATATATATATATGTAGGAGCAGTAGCGCAGGTCAAGTATTTGGGGTCACTGGTAAAACAAGGCAATGCAACCGAGATCGAGGTCAAGAAAAGAATATTGATGTCTAATAAGTTTTACTTTGCCCTTCACAAGAAATTCACACCTTCTACCCGGCAGAACAAGCTGCATCTCTACAAAACACTAATTCACTCAGTCCTGCTGTAAGTATCAGAAACATAGGCGACAGCTAAAAGAATTGAGCAAGACCTCCGAGTATTTGAGAGAAAATTCTTCGAAGAATATTTGGAGAAGGCGGACAAACGCCGAAATTTACTCGATTTATAATGATCAAGATGTCGTTCTGAGAATGAAGCTTGGAAGACTGAGATGGGCTGGCCACATGGCTAACATAATGATAGTGACAGAACCTCACTACGGAACTAGAAGAAGAGGAAGATCAAAACTAAGATGGTCAGACGATGTGGCAAGAGGTTCAAGAGATGTCCTTGGAGTCAGGAGCTGCATGATGAGTGGAGTAAGCTGCTGGAAGAGGCCAAGACACGTCACCGAGTTGTAGCGCCATGATAGTTAGTGTGTGTGTGTGTGTGTGTGTATATATATATATATATATATATATATATATATAATTAGTTTTTATAAAATATATATCTAATAATTTGTATACAAGTAGCCCAAGAGTTAAGGTTAAAAACAATATCAATAAATACCCATTATTAAACTAGATACCGATATGAATTGTTTTGTCTAGAAATTGGTCTGGTAAACAGGGACTCTCATTTTACCAGCCTTTTACAAAATATTGAAATAACTCAAACGTCACTTCCACAGATATTTTCTCTATAACCCCCCTTTTCCTTTACACACAATCTCCTCCTTTTGCCTTTTGTCTACTCCATTTCAAATAATCTATATACTCGTGGCCCAGGAAATCCATGCCTCTCTGCCAATATCCCCCTTATTTCATATACCTCCAGCATATGATAAAACCTACTTTATAGGCCCTCCGATCTAATGGAATTCTTCCTCTCTCAACATCAGCCTTGTTATCTCTTTAAAGACCAATCTCTTCTACTCCTCTCCTTTTCAGGCAAACGTTTACAAAGGTAGGTTACAAGAATTTTTATTTTATATACTAAGGAAAATACAGTATTTTCTAAAAATACAGTTTTTCTTTTATTCTTTATACCGTGTTATACTGTTCCAGAATATTCATTTCTTTTATTTTCTGCTTGTTTGAATTCTTAGTACCTGTTATGATTCATAAGATGTTTTCTCTTTTATAGACTGGCTTTAAGCCGGAAAAATAAAATATATATTAACTACAAAGATATACATTTTTTTTTTCGGTGCAGATGGGCTACGCAAACCCTGAACAGAAAGGAGGTGGATTACACCTAAGGCAGTTTTCTAGAGCTTTTATAATAGAGGATGGTTCATCGAGGATGGTATTCGTCAGCGCAGATTGCGGCATGATGGGAACTTTTCTGAGGAAAGAGGCATGTATAAAGTATACTTTTTTTAGTTTTGTTTTATTATTTAGATATTAGAGCATAATTGAAAAAATCCATTTTTGTGTATCTAAAATACAGGTAAAGAAGAAAATAATCTGTCAACGTTTCGCCTATTCAGGAATCTTGAGAAGAGTAAAAAATAATAATAAAAAAAAAATCATATCACTACATTACGCCCAAACACAAACTGGTAGTAAAATATACAGCTTTAGTTATGTGTTTGGATATAATGAAGTCATGTGTTACGATCTGGTAATGCCTTATATCTGTTCGAACAAAAAATATATTTTCAACATAGACTCATTTGCTTAAATTTATCTCTATTGAATTCTTATGATTTAGGCGGCTGGGATTATTTCTTCGTAATTATCTTCGTAAAACAATCATCGATAAAAAAAAGGTGGCGCAGTTTTAAAGTAACTTGAAATTGAAAAAAATCAGGAGAAAGAAAGTTTGCCCGCCCCCAAGAAAGAGCTTTGGGGGCTTAAATTTACATTTGAGGATGAAATTACTTTTGTCCTACCAAATCTTATCGTAATGAGATTTGCTTAATTAATTAAAATATTTTATATAAAATTTCTTATAAAAATGTTTGTTGTTCTTATTGCCTATACACAATATTATTAAATGTTATCTACGCTATGAGTAAACAGATACAAAAAATATGTAATGTATATTTTTATTATCACACAAGGTAATTTAGAATTTATTTGGAATGCCTCAAAGACTCAATGAAGATCGCAAAATATAAATCTCAGAGAATTTACTATTTTTTTCGACTACTATATCGGTAAAATAATGGTTCAGAAACGAAATATTTTGCACTAAACCCATGGCTCGAACAATGAGTTTTACATCTACCATTCACGCCAATGACGTAATAATTGAAAGGAACAAAAATTGAGCTAACGGTAGCCTTAAAAATTTACTTTATCTATTCGAACTAGGATCGCCAAGTTTTGCTATCCAGACGGGGTACATTTCGGGTTTTATATGGATTAATGTGACATTTTAGGGTTCCCTTTAACAGAAAAATAAATATCTTCTTTATTTTAACGAATTTCACGAAACTTATATTTCTCCCAGTAAGATTATAAACCATAGCAGAAACTTAGGGCTTAAAAGTCAAATTATGCAGTTCCAATTAACTGATCCCGTCAGTGGCTAGGATTTCATCTGAAATATTCAGCATTACAAGATGAGTAAAAATCGATTGCCTAAAGCGACCCAGGAATGTACGTTTCCGAAACTCCACACTTTTGAGCATGTCAGTTTTTATTTATCGATTAACCATATATTAGATTCTCTTAATGATAGCATTTTAAGTCTTTGAAGTACTGATAAATCGATTGTTTGCAATACGGTAAATGGAATCTACCAAATATATTTTTTGCGTCAGTTTTTGGAACACATCTCTCTGGATCATCTTACTTACTAAGTTTGACATACTCAATATTTTGGAAGAAATATGGTCGGGTGATTGGAATAAATAATTTGACACCTTCGAAGTTTCGAATGCAATCCAATTGCAAGTCATTCCTTACCCAAGATTTAACCAGATAATTAAATCTTTAAAATAATTGCATTTTTATGTGTTTCCAATAAGTTTAACATCGTTTCAAATAAAGTTAAATGAGTTCAACAAAAATTTGTGATTAGTTTTGGAAACGCACGTTACTTGGTCATCTGACTCGATTGATTTCGACTGATCTTGCCATAGTAAATATTTAGAAACGCATCGGATTACGTAAATTTCTGTTATGAGTAATAATTTTAATGGGTTTAAAACGAGTTTGTGACATTTTCAAATGTTTATCTTTCAATCGAATGGAACCTCAAAATTTCGCCTATTTGAGTCCAAATGTCATCCCAAATACATTCGGTCTGGAAAGCAGAAAAATACTACCGGTGGCTTTACGTTTGTCGTTGAAAAAAATATGTCATTTGATAACAATCAAAGTAGAGAAATATTGCTTACTAAGTACAGGTGAATTGAATTATCAATGTAATAAAACAAAACAATTGTGGTTGAAACATAGACTTGGGTGTAATAATTAAATCAGAATAATGTATGAAACATTTATAAAAAAAACCCTCAAAAATAAAGATATTACATTTTTTTTATTTAATAGATTTTAGGCCACAGATCACCAATAAAATACGCTTTTATTCTATGTCAATTTTCTTCTTGTGCCACTTCCGAATCTGTAAACAAATTTAATGTAGTCACTTCTCATTAAAATATTTATATTTTTAAAGTTTCATTAAATAAATTGTGCCTAGTCTACAGCAGAAAAAAATTCTCAAAATATTTAGAAATCACAACGAATTCCTCTGAAATAAAGGATGAATCTGAAGACGAAATATATAAAAATTATATATAAACTTTTTAATAATTGTGCGTGATAGGTAACTCAAACCAATATAATCATAATTAATTATATTATATACTAAGTTTAAAATATAATGATAATATTGAATAAGCACAATGTATTTACAGAAATTTTAAAAACTGAAATGTTTTATAGAAAAGTTACTAAATTAAAGAAGTTTAGAGATTCATGAAAACGTTGACAAACAAAGAAATACAATAAAAATGTATTTTATTGATGACATGTGGGATAAAATCTATTAAATAAAAACTATTTGGGGTGTTCAGTAAAAAGCGCCAAATTAAAAATATATGCATGTATTCATTTTTATATTTGCTTTTTAATATATTTTTGTTTATATTTTAGGCAAATATAAAAATAAATACATTAGTCTATTTTTAACTTTTCTTTTATTTTACTGTACATTCCAACCAACTTCTCTTTAATTATTCATTACAGTCAATCATAAATCCATTATTGAATAAAAAAATCACAAAATTCTACTAGTGTAAAAAGTATGACAAATATGTCAAATTATATATATATATATATATATATATATATATATATATATATATATATATATATATATATATATATATATATATATATATATATATATATATATATATTTACAACTTTTCCTTCATCGACCTTTGAGTATTAAATTCAAACTTCACTATTTTATTGGGAATAAGGTCACTTAATTATTATTTAATAAACTAATTAATGTTCATTTCTTCTGTTTATTGACGTTTCGATCCCGGTATTTTCTTTTTATTAGTCAACCATGGGATCCTCTTCAAAGCTAGAACTACAAATAGCTCAATCGATACACAATATTACTTCCATATGACATTATGAAATATATATATATATATATATATATATATATATATATATATTTTTTTTTTTTTTTTTCTTTCTACGGACCTTCGATATATGTCGGTTCGATATCGGTGAATGGAATTACCTAGCTTTTCATAAATCTGCTTCATTTTCATCAGTCTTTTCAAACAAGTTTTACTGGAATGATATAATTCTATCATTGGGACAAATTGAGATGAAGCATACTGTAAATGCAGTTTTCTTATCTAATCAGAGCAGCTCATCCCCTAATCCTAAGAGCCCTCGCGCAGCGACAACATTGATGAAATGTTTGCTCCTATCTGAGCCGGTAGGTGGGATGTTGTGTAAGTGGTGCAGATCCAGATATCCGTGTAATGCGATTAATCAGGCAAATGACGAATATATCTCCGAGCTCGTTAGCAGTGGAATCTATTCCTGTATCGCTTTGGATTACTGATTCTCATCTCTAACACATGATGTTATTTTAAGTTATAGTTAGGAGGCGCTGTATTTGTGAAGTGATATTTGATATTTTTAAGAATCATATGTATTTGGGGCTATACCAACATTTCTGATATGATATGGTACAGAAAGATGATTGGGCTGGTGAAAAACTTTAGTGGACTGTATGAATGATAAATTTAATTGCATTGAATATAATACATAGAGGTGGGGGTTTGAATGTAAGGCGTTTACAATATCGTAAGGGAAATTTGGATTGTAGTATTATTAATTGGCTGCATGATGTCTGATTATGGATGATGATGATTGGTCGACCGGTTGCCACATTTCCCTCTCACCGCCACGGGTCCGGCAAGTCTCGGAGTGTTCTACTCTTCCATGTTTCCTCCCATGGTAGAACAAGAGTGAAGTACAATGTCTTGAAGAGGGAAGAGAAGGTTTGACTACAGTCGCCCATTTTCTCTTGTTTCAATGCAGACGGTGCCAACGTCGGCACAGTGTTACCTTAGTGATGTTTCAGTTGTACTCTATGAAGGGGGGATTAATATCAATTTAGGGTGATCAACTCTAAACAATGTGATTTAAATTTAGGATTGGGTACAGATGTTTAGCTATGAGTTTTTTTTTTTTAAAGATTTCACCTTCACGTTCAACAGTGAAATATTACGGTACGAAGATGGGTTTTTGGAATTTATTATTTTAATCGATATTTATAAGAAACAAGAAAAATTGTCCATGATCATCTCAATATTCGATTAATTGTCTATTTAGATCGAAATAGTAATCTCTTAATTGGAAACATAGCTCTTCCAAACCCTCTAATTCGTAACTTTTCATCCCAAACTATTATAACACCTCTGATGGGTGTGAAAAATAAATGGCTACAATCTATCCAAAAGGTTGCTGCTACTATCATGGTTAGTGTTGCCCGAATGCGAGACCGAGACGAGTCATGGTCTTGCAAACTCAGTGTTGATCTAGGTATTGGTCTTGCACAAGAGTCACGCAACGGTCTTGCAGTTACCTATTAGCTTAGTACTATAGAGATATTACTGAATTTTTCAGATAGAGGAAACCTAACTAAGCCCCAATGAAAAATTAGAAGAGTTAAATGCAAGAGTATATTAGTTATACCAATTCTTTACACTAGTTGGCCCGTGTGAATAATTCGCAGAAAATTTTGTTTATTGAAAAAATAGCAAAACAATATGGAAATAAGTAGTTCGTATCTATTATGTAAGGAAGAAATTTATATTTTTTCCTTAGTAGATTACGATATTCCATTAAACATAATAGACCAAA